CAACCGGCACCCAACCGACCCCCAACCGGCCCCCATCCAACCCCCAACCGCCAACAGTACGAGGAGCACACCAAGCGCGCCTGGTCCGTCGACTTCTCCCTGCCGGACCCCTCGCGCCTCGCGAGCGGCAGCGACGACGGCACGATCCGGCTGTGGTCGATCCACCAGGAGGCGTCGGTGGCGACGATGGAGACGCGCCACAACGTGTGCAGCGTGCAGTTCAGCCCTGAGGTATCGCACCTGCTGGCCGCGGGCAGCGTGAACCACAAGGTGGGTGTGCCTGTGTTTGTGCGCGTATGGTTTTTTTTGTGTGTGTGTGTGTGTGTGTGTGTGTGTGTGTGTGTGTGTGTGTGTGTGTGTGTGTGTGCACGCGCGCGATATGTTGTGCGTCTAATATTAGTGGTTTGGGCACAAAGTGAGGGTGGGTTTCTGCCTGCGTACGTATGGGATAGCCTCCAAGAAGGTGTGGCATGGCAACCACCAAAAACGCACTCACCAATGTTGCACACGCCAACTTTCCCAACCGCAGGTCCACCTGTTTGACATCCGCAAGACCTCCCAGCCCCTCACCGTTGCCCCCGGCCACGGCAAGGCCGTCTCATACGTCCGCTTCCTCCCCAACGGCCGCCTCGTCAGCGCCTCCACCGACGGCACCCTCCGCGTCTGGTCGGTCGCCGCGCTGTCCGCCGCCGGCGCGGGCGGCGGCGGCGAGGCCGCGCTCGAGGCCGCGTGCGAGGTGGTCCTGCGGGGCCACCAGAACGAGCGGAATTTCATCGGGCTCTCCGCGTCCCCCGAGTCGTACATCGCCTGCGGCAGTGAAACGAATGAGGTGGTCTGCTACCACCGCTCCCTGCCGCCGCCCGTCGCGCGCCACTGCTTCAGCGGCCGCCGCGCGGGCGGCGGCGCCGGCGAGCGCTGCAGCCGTGGCGCGTGCGGCGCGGGGTTTGGCGGGCGGTGCTCGCTGCACGGCGGCGGCGGCGGGGGCGGCGCGGGCGAGGCGGCGGGGGTGGGCGAGGACAGCCACTTTGTCAGTAGCGTCTGCTGGAGCAAGCGGCACGGCACGCTCCTGGCGGGCAACTCGGCCGGCCACATCAAGGTGCTGCAGCTGATCTGATCTGATCTGACCGATCTGACGCGAGGGAGGGACGAATCTGTTGTGTGCGGCTGACGCCGGCAGGCCAGAGAGAGTGTTTTTCTTTGAGGGGTTGCTTTGGGTGTGTGTGCGCGTTTGAATCAAGGAGCGAGAGAGTTTGCCTGCGAGTGACCAAAATGGCTTCGTACATAAGGAGAGGCGTGGCTTTGACCAGTGAGGCCGCTGCTGCATGGATTCAGGAGCGATAGCCAGGGCCGCTGCCCGCCTGCTGCGGGGCGCCCGGGTGTTGGGGGAACCCTTGTGAGAGGCGTGCCGGGGTGGCTGGGTCGTGGCTGTGGCGGTGGCGCGCTGACGCCGGCGCCATGCGCATGCCGCTGGCGCCGCCTCTGCCGCCCTTGCTGCCGGGACGGCGCCCGTTGCGCTCCACCCCCACCCCCACCCCCCTTGTATGTGGCGTAAGGCCCTGGCCGGGCAGTGCCCGGCCCGCAATCCTCGCGGATCGCGCCCGCGCGTTTGACCGGTCGCCCGGGCGCGGCATTGCTTGGGCTGCTGTCGCCCACAATGCTTTCAAGCACTAACACTCACTGCACTTGCGCCTTGACCCTCCCGAGGGGGGCCCAGGCGCGGCGGCGGGGCGCGCCACGCCTGCAATGTGGCGG